CTGATGTTTTTGGCTAAATTGAACGAAATTTTTGGGAAAGTTTAAAAAAATCTCAATACTCTTATGAACATTATTAAACATGTTAAACCATAAATATATTTTCATATTAAAATAAATTATAATACAGTAATGTAACTTTGTGACGTTCATTGTTAACTTATCAACTTATTTATAATTCATTTGCAATTATTTTTTAACAGTGCGTAGAGAGGGAGTGCATCATAAATATTTGTGATCAATCAACCAAACCTAATCTATGTAGAAGCATGTGGACCATGTGATACAGACAGACCAACACACCTACTGATCAACCAACCAATCAACCAACAGACAAACTAACCAACCGACCGACCAATCAACCATCTGACCAACCGGCCAAACAACCAAACAGCCAGTCAGCCAGCCAACCAACCCACCATGTAATAACTTTAAAACGAAACGAAAGTTTATAATTTCAACAATTCTTCCAGTTACATTCTGTGCCATCTTCAGTGAAAAACCATCAAGGAAGTTGGAAAATATTTCAACTGGTTCAGCTGAACGAATGTAACAAAATATTTTCAGGTTTCACAAAGTTACATAAAAAATATCCCAAGTAAAACTTTTTAAGAATTTGTAACCTACTTGGACAATCAAATCATAGATATAAACTTGATTAATAAAATTCAACTGACAAAAATTTGTTCAAAAACAAAAGAACCTAACTAAGCCAGAAATGCAGGAATTTATACAATAGCTGTCTGTGAATATAGATTACAGCGTTGCAGACGGTGGCTTTGTTTTTTAAAAGTGAAAAGTCGAACGTTAACGTTTGAAGGTTGACTGAGGAATGAAGAATGTTTGCAGGTCTGTACGCGAAACTCTTGGGCTCCAGTGCTCAAATAAATTAGATGACCTTCAAACAAAATCAAGTAAAATGCTGGTAAAAAAATATTTCGATGTAATTATTTATTGAAAAATAAAAAATTTTTTAGTTATTTTGTTGTATCAAATACAGTACACACAAACAAAGTGTATACGAAGTAACAGAGTGGTACACATTTCATGCAGACGTACTAAATTAAAGTAATTAGTTAGAAAACACACCCTCAATAAATTTTTGAGTATTTACATTAATGTTTGCCCATACAACAACACACACACACCACACACACACACACACACACACACGCACACACACACAAACATACTCATTCTCTCTTTCTCTCTCTCTCTCTCTCTTTCTCTCTCTATTTCTCTCACACATACGACACACAGACACATACACACACACACATACACACACATACCCATATGCACATGCATATCAACGTATGTTAAATCTTATTATAAATGATGCCATTTAAAATTGTGACCTCGTCAGATCATATTTTGGGTACAAACTGACATGAAAACGTATCGAACTCTCGTTCTGATCACCAAACTTCGCAATTATTGGACCACAAAAAATTTGATCGTGTTCAAAAAAATTTTCCTGTCGCATTGATGGTTCCTCCACGCGAAATGATGTTCAGCCATGTTTGCACCATCTTCAACTTTCTAACACAACATTTTAAAAAATATTCATAAAGTTGATTTCTGTTTTAAATTATAAAAATTTGTATTTTGTATCTGTATTAATGTATTTGTTATTTGTAGCAACCAGTGACGTAGCATAGGAGAGGAATTTTCAAGTACTTCCACACAAAAATGCAATAAAACACTTTTAAGACCTTGAAAAAAAATATAATTCGATTTAATGTGGAAGAATTACGTTTGCTTATGTTTACTTTCCTTACTAACTAACTAGTTACTAACGCTTTCCTTACAAATTACAGTTTTTAATTGAAATTGAGTTAAAATTTAAAATAAAATATATTGCTTTTGAATTTTTTTGTAAAAATCTAAAAAAATATCAATCAATGCTTTCGTTTAAAAGCGCCACTTGGGATAATAAACTCAAATTCAACTTGGCACGTCATTGTAAAATTTTGTCGGTGCTGCAAACCGATAGTTTTATAGTTTTTAAAAAATAATGCAGCTATTATTAAAATATATCGGTTCCATTAAAGAAATATTATCGTTATTCACTCTTCCTATGTGAGGGAGACAGAGAAGAAAAAAGTGAGAGGAAAAAAAGAGCGAGTGTGGAAGAGAGTGTAAAAGTGTATATAAGAAGAAATTAAAATACAATTATGCAAACCAGTTGATTTGTACGGGTTTTTGTTTTAACGGGAGGCCAGCAGAGAATGAAGGTATTAAAAATCTGCAGAACATAATATTAAGAGATCATCTAGAGAGTGTGTCTCGCGAGCAACGCGCGAGGATTGTTTTTGATGTTAAAATATTTTTACTAGAGTCCCCATTTTATACACTATAATTTGGATTGTATTGTTTTGTATACAGAAATTTTTGTACTACTTATTTGGTGACGAATTGAAAAATTAATGAATCAACATTCTTCGTTTCAGGTGCTATTTTATTAGTTTTATTTTAGTGAGTACTGAAGGTTGAGAGCAGGATTTCAAAAAAATTAAAAAAAAATTAAAAGCTTGAAAAGTTATTCTAAGTCGGGGGAAGAACTTTTAAAATTTATTTTGCAAAAATTCTCATCGATTGGAGAAACGGCGTCTGTCTGCTCCCTGGCGGACAACATGCATTCGTTCCCTGCTGCATGCTACTTTCTTTCAATCATGACGTAACTTCAAATCATAACTCAACTTTTCAACTTTAGAAGAATTCATTGAAAATCATGTTGTTCCATTTTATTCCATTCTTGCTGCACTTTAAAGGATCAAAACAAAATTAAAAAAAAAATGATGCAATTGATTTGTCCATTAAATAATCAATCAAGCTTTTTAATGCAATCCCATAAATATATAATATATACACACAGTATATATATTTATATATATATATATATTATATATATATATATATATATATATATATATATATATATATATATATATATATATATATATATATATATATGTATGTATGTTGGTAATAGACCATAATTTTTACAATATTCTATAAATTCTACCGGTTCTATAAATTGATGAACGTTCACCAAAAAACTTTAGAGTGAAAAATTGAAAAAATGAACTACAAATATATTAACGCCAAACATTCGGTAGAATTTATAGAATATTGTAATATATATATATATATTATATATATATATATATATATATATATATATATATATATGTGTGTGTGTGTGTGTGTGTGTGTGTGTGAGTGTGTGTGTGAGTGTGTATGTGTGTTTGTGTGAGAGAGAGAGACTAACAAAAACTCATTCCCATTCGACCGTCATATATAATTATTCACAACCACATGAAGCATCTCTCTATTTGTTCGCTTCCACATTGGCGTTGAAGAAGTTTGGTATTGTTATAACAAATATATCCGCTGGAGGCGCTAGTATCGCTACGAACGCATACGGTTCGTGGAGGGACTAGAACCTTCTGACAGCGAGATATCTAGGACATGCGAGATATTGAATGGTTGTTTTTGAATATTTGATATTAGAAAGAGATTGATTGTTAGTGTCGATAGCGAAATTTAATATTTGATTGTGTTTTTATTGTATTTGCGATAAACGTTAGTGAAATGTTATTCAAAAAGCAATAGAATCTAAACGTTAATTTGATGATTTGTGAACATTAACTTTTATTAATGAAATCAATTAACGTTGATTATTGATTAATTGATTAACGTTGATTATCGATTTGTAAATAAAATGATAGTTTAAAAGTTATTTCGTGCCACTATTTCCCACTGGGATTAAACGAACCCGTCATCGGCCGGCCAGTTATAACGGTATTTATAAACACACGCAGGCGTCTTCAGCACGCAAAAACATCCGCATATAAAATCATACTCACACTTGCATTATACCACACAGATACCAGAGGGACACGCGCGCACACGCACACACGCACACCCATCGAAACATAAGCATCTGCACGCACGCACACGCACAAACTCATACATATAACATATACATTCAGACACACGCCAAACATACCCACACTCAGAGATACACATAGAAATACATATAGATACTTGCATACTTACGCACACGCAAAGACCTATCTATAATATATCAGGCAAATTCACAATACAGCAGTTTAAGTTTAAATGAAATAACGTGAATTGACCTCGGCGTAAACCTCATTGCTTCTAAATGGATTGGAAAACTGAAGGATTGGTGGATGGATGGATGGATGGATGGGTGGATGAACTGATGTAAAAAAAAATAAATGGAACAATAGAAAATTATATAAATGGATGAATGAATGAAAAAATGAATGGATGGATGTGGAATGGTGAGTAGTAAGATGGAGGGGAGGTAGAGAATTATTTATCACTTAAAAAGTTTTCTAATTCATTCCTCTCCCACTGATTCCACGCGTAAGCCGCCCGCGTGTAGTGGCAGTGAATGGTGGGTATTTATCCGTTCAGCTCGTTTTCAAATACTTGTCTTAATACACTTCATTTTATTGAAAAAATTTTTCATTCTTACATAAGAAATGTAATTGTTGTTGACAATCATTGAACCGCACGGTTGGGATGCATGTTAACGATTCCTGAAAATATGAAAACAGGCGTGATCACACGAAACAACAACAAATATGAAACAAATAAATAAATAAAAAGAAAAAGATAAAAACTGCCCTAAGGACAAATATCTTGACAGCATCATCAATGCTCCATTAGAATCATGATTATTGTTCATATATGAGGCTGTGCTTAATTGCATGAGGCATGCGAGTGAGTGAGTGAGTGAGTGAGTGAATGAGTGAGTGAGTGAGTGAGTGAGTGATTTGAATGTCATCTTATTATCATTTTATGGCTATCCTCATTATTATCAATAAAATTTTTGCCTTTATTATTATTGTCATCATCATCATCATCATTGTTATCCGACATTGTCATTGACATCATCATCCGCGTCATCACCACGCCACTCCCGAACCATTCAAAGCAAATCTTAAGAAGGAGAGATGACGAACCTTTTTCTTGGCGTTCAGCTGCATGCGGTCCCTCACGTTGTCAGCATTGCCCGGCGTCTTCCTCCTCCAGAGACACCTGGCGACAACTCCGTACGTGACGGCGATGGCGGAAAGTGGCAAGAGGTAGGTGCTGATGAGGACGAAGAAGCTGAAGACCCAGCGCATGCTTTCGTTTGGCCACATCTCCGAGCAGCCCGTTCGTGTCGAGTTGCTGCTGACGCCCTGCACGGATCTGCCGACAACCAACTGCGGCGATGAGAACGTGAAGGCGACGCTCCAGACGGCAACGATGGCAATCTTCGCTCGCAGTTTCGGATTCCTGGCCTGCAGTGGGTAGATGACGACAAGGAAGCGGTCGACGGCGATCGCGGTGCTCGTGCCGACACTCGCCAGCACTGCGAACTGAATGGGGAGAGTTGCTAACCTGATTATTACTTTAGTGGTTCAACTACAAAATAATAATGACAATTATTTTGAATATTTTCTATTTCAGTTTTAACTACATTTAAAGCAGTTTTTTTATTGTTGGCAAATAAATATAATGTGATGTATCTAATTTGTTGTTACACTACCTGAAAACATCAATAGTTTTAAAAATTAGCATCAAATAACTCCTCGGAAATCGGACTGACCATTTGGCAGAAGAGGACGAGCGTGCACATGTAGGTTCCAAATATCCACTCGTGCAGCATGGTGTAGGTGAAGGTGAAGGGCATGCAGAAGATGGCCATGACCAGGTCGGAGCAGGCCAGGTTGACGAGGAAGGGTCGCAAGTCGGTCCGGCATCTCCTGCCGAACGAGAAGACGACGATGACGAGGATGTTGCCGAGGACTGCCAGCGCGGAGGTCATCGTGTAGAGGAAGATGAGCACGTACTGTGACTCCTTCGGCAGACCTGATTACAACAACAACAACAACAACAACATCAACAATCATCAAAGAATGTACACCAAACAATTAACAAACATTGTACATGAAGCAGTTGTACCGATGAATATGAAGCAGTTGTATTGATAAACTGATGAACCAACCAGTTGTATTGACGAAGAGATTTATACGATTGAGCTAAGTTGAATGAATTGTTGAATTTTAAAAAAAAAATGAAATCGATTGAATGATTTTGATTCAATGTGAAATTAAAAATTCACGATAAATAACAAAATTAATATGTTTATGAATAATAAATTGCGTCATGCATAAGCCAAATTATGTTTAGATGCAAATGAGCTCCAATAGACGAGAACTAACTGTTGGAAGATTGGGGATAGGAATTTAGAAGAAACAAACATCATCGAGGAGGTTAGTTCTTGTGGCTAATTGTTTTTGAATGCTGGTAAGATGAATTTGGCCTGATGTCAACAAATAACAAAAAAAAATTTCGAAATTTTTTTAAACAAATGCAACCACTTTAAAATTCACCACCAATAACACAATATGGATTATTGCGAAGTATTGTTCTTGAAGTTTTCTCACTGAACTTTTTTTGCTTATTCGAACACTCATATTAGAGCCAACAATCACCACTGCATCGCGCACTAGAAATGCCTGTAAGTCACGCCGTGCTGCTCAAACCCGTCGTAGAAGCAACTTGTTGAAACCTCTGACCGCCTGAGCTAACTCTTAAATTTTCAAGTGTGATAAAATAGCGAAAGTTGATGGAAAATGTGTGAACAAAAACAAGGATAGGTGTTTGGTGAATGAATGAATGAATGAATGAATGAATTATTGAATGAATGAATTATTGAATTAATGAATTATTGAATTAATGAATGAAACTCAGTGCTGCTTTAAATGAGTTTGTAAATCGAGCAGTTGGGCTTTAAAGCGGAGAATGAATACGTCATTAATGATGATTGAGTGATTGTGAAAGAATGAATAATGGTGGTTATCAACTTGATGATGATCACAATAGTGGTGGTGGTGGTGATGATGATGATAATGATGATGATGGTGGTGGTGATGATGAAGACAAGAAAGAAAAAATAAATGAATAAACGAATAGATAAAATGTTCGAATAATGAACGAAAAAGAAGACAAATGAATGAAACTCAAGATTGATTAGAAAATAGTCGCAGTTGCATCTGACTGGGGATGGTTTGGACTGAGAAACTCCATTCGGATGAAGTCTGCATGAGGTTGAATTGGCTTTTTTCGGAGGTTTTTTTTTATAATTTTTAAAAATAATCAGGACCTGACGAGCGCAGAAACTGTTACATCATCACCATCATCATCATCATCACCATCATCGTCATCGTCATCATCATCATCATCATCACCATCATCGTCATCGTCATCATCATCATCATCATCGTCATCAATAACATCATCGTCACATCATCATCGTCATCATCATCATCATAATAATAATCATCATTATAATAATAATAATCATCATCATCATCATCATCATCATCATCATCGTCACATCACCAAGTTTTTAAGTGAGAAAAATGTGATGACAAGGAGTTGGAGCCAAACGTAAACTGAAGGTTATAATAGTGTCGAATTACGTTACATTGCATAGATGAAATCATCATTAACCTTTTGTAGCGTTCAGGCAGACTGTATCAGTGGGGTTGATGTCATCTGTCACGTTCGTCATCTTGTCATCTGCGTGGTTGTTGGTGGTTGTTGTTGGTGGCTGTTTTGCTGTTACATATTGTTTTGTGTCGTCGTCGTTGTTGTTATTGTTGATGTTGTTGCTGTTGTTGTTGTGCTATTTGATTTGTTATTGTTGTTGCTGTCTGTGATGTTGTTATGTTATTTTTTGTTGTTTTTGTTATTGATGTTACTGTGTTGTTGCTGTTAATGTTATGTTGTTGTCCATGTTGATGTGTTGTTGTTGTGTTTGTGGTTATTGTAAATTGTTACTTTTTTCAATTCAACAAGGAATGTAACCCACGACAATCCGCAGAACATAAATGTCACTTATTTGGGGTAAATATGGTTCGGCGCAACCCCAAGTTGTCAGTCGTCTGCTGGTATCACGTGGGCATGAAAATGTCAGCTGTGCATGTGCAAGTCTACTAACATAGGCAGGCTCTACCTTTGTGCGTTCAGAATTTTAGAGCTTTGAACGGGATGGGTGTTTGATGGATGGATGGATGGATAGATGGATGGATGGATGTATTTGTAGATAAATGACAGACGATGGAATAGGATGAATAGATTAATGGATAAATAAATGGATGGATGAATCGATAGATGGTTAGATGGATGAGTGGAAGGTCTAATAGATGGAGTGAATGAATTAATGAAAATGGTGTCTGTAAAAGAAATTAATAAAAGACGTTATTAGAATCAGAAATGACCCCGAGAAGAATGCTGCCGACAATTAATAACAAGACAATCTCCATAATGGGATTGATTTTACTTCCTCATCCTGCATGGACTCTCCTGTCTTTTTTTTCATTTGCATCTCGTGCTAACTCAGTAGGTCGTTTTTTTAATTTTCAAAAAATTAAAAAACTTTTTTTTCAACTTTTCTGAAATTCTTTAAATATTTGCCAGTTATAAAACCATCTATGAAAGAATTTTCATTTAGAACAGTTTAGAAAATAATCCAATTTTTTCAGTGGCACTAAGATGACTGATGTTAAACTTACTGATAAATCAACAGATTTCCATTGGCCTTTGATGATGTGCAAAAACATAAATCACAATTAAAATCAAAAATGCGCAAAGAGCTAAATCTTCAGTTTATCTATAGATACGTTTGTTGAAGTTTAACACAACAAAATCAGAGAAACTCTCTTTTAAAAAATTAAATAAAATAATTTTGAAAAACGAATCTGAAACAAAAAACTGATTTTTGATATTTAATGTAGATGATCGGACGGTCATAATTTGCGAAATGTACATACCTGGGTCGTTTACAAAATGTGCAATTTGTCAGTCTGTGGGCAGAGCTCCAGACTGTGTCATTTTTATATAACATTAACTGACTTGAATATCAATGACCCATGTACCACAGAAAATATCCACACATTTTTACGTGCAGCCCTTTTCTTACATACTGGGTTGTTTGTGTGCTTTGAATATTGATGTGGAAGTAAGTTGTTTGCTCATAAAGTTAAATTGAAAAATAATTAAATAGTTTTCCAAGTAGTCAGAAACTTTTTGATTCAAATTAAGTTAATTTTTTTAAAACGTAACAAAAGAGCTGAACAACTAACAAGTTGAAAAAGTTGTTATCTATGGCAAACAACTTTTTCATACAAAAACATATTTAACAAAATGGACATCGCCAAAAATTATTCATTACCATTATGGCAAACACCACCAACAAACATCACCAACAAACACCACCAGCAAACACTACCAACAAACATCACCAACAAACACCACCAGCAAACACCACCAACAAACATCACCAACAAACACCACCAGCAAACACCACCAACAAACATCACCAACAAACATCACCAACAAACATCACCAACAAACACCACCAACAAACATTATAAACAGCACTAATACAATTTATAACGGCAATAAAGCCGAATTAGGAGCATCAGGTCCACGCAAAATATATCCTCCTCCAATTGAAAAACAAATTCGATTTCATGCGACATCCATCGTGACGTAATGTGTGCCTGACCAGCATCCACAAAATTAAAATAATAGAATGAATTTTTTAAGGATGCAAAAATTATTTTACTTGTTTTCTTGTACGAATTGTTGTTTGTTTGTTTGATGGTGTTCGATTTTGGGTTGTTGATGGTTTAAATTTTCAATCCAATAAATGTTTGGTTAATCGTGATAGCTGGCTGATGTTGTTGAAATGAATTTCATTCTTATTCAAAATGATGGTGGTCTGAAAAATTTGTGTTTGCTGAAATTTGCTGATTTTGGATGCTATGCTGCCGAGGTGCGTCACGATCGTGCTAAGATCTATATGCCTACTACATTTCAGGTAGGAATCACCGAGCAGTGAGTCGCTGAAACTGGAACACGACTCGATCGATTTCAGCGATTTTGTTTTGATCTCTTGCCTGACAGGTGGGCGGCTCATACTTTAAAAACAGTCAAAAGTTGAAGACTCCTGATGAACTGGATGAATAGTTACATTAAAAATTATTTTATGTTAGCGCGCCTCGATGCTCAGTTATTTGTTTATTGAAATATTTATAAAAATTATTTCATGTGTGGTAGATGAGAACTTTCATATATAATACTACGCTAGTTAATATTTACGTTACTGACTTATCAGCTCAGCATCAAATAATCACATAACTAAACAAATCATTATCGAAAAATTATTGAGACAATGGAAAATTGTAGAAACATTTAAAAACTATCGAGAAATTGTCAAAAAAGTGTTGAAGCGCATAGAAATTATTGGTAATTATCGGATATCGAGAAACTATCAGGAAACAATTTGTACAAATCACTAGAGAAAAATTTAATTCCTAATTTCCTAATATGAAATGCCGATGTTTATCGCGAAATGGAAAATTTTCTGTACATCGGTTTGGAAGGAGGGGCGTTTGATGTGGCGTGCACACTGAAGGGCGCCTGCTCGCTCGATGCTGGGAGGCGTGTGAACAACTTGCATGCCGTTGTGATGGCTGTGATGGTAGGGTGGAAATTTGTTTTTAGAAAGATAAAAAAAATTTGATTCATTTCAAAATAAATTCAAATTAGCTCAAAATGATTTCAACGAAAGAAGACGTTTGGACGAGCACAATGCATCGATATTTAAAGGAAATCCAATTACGATGAATGAAGGAAAATAATTTCCCAATTTTTTCCCGGAAGAAACATTATTGTGGAGAAATGGAACGCGCAGCTGTTGGTGAGCATACAATTGGGGTTATGGAGAGGCACGGAGCGATACGAGCTGGATGTTTTAAGATATTCAAATAAGCTTTATTGAGGATGTAATGGGCAATCATGGAGTTTCAATGAAACGATAAAAAGGACGGGAGCTCTGGAATGAACAGTTGAATGAACTCATCTTAGAAATGATTTTGTTATAAATTCCGATTGTGTCAATCCATGGCAGCAATCATACAATTCAGAGAATGCATTTGAGGCAATTTAATGAGGTTAATAATGGAGAGAGAAGGAAACTGACTGGAGGTGAGTAATATTTGTGGGGTAGTGAACAAGATGGACGTCATTTTAATCATCCTCATCGTCCTCATCGTCTTCATCATCGTCGTCGTCATCATTACAGTCATCATCATCATCGTTGCAATTCAGCAAGAAGATGATCATCACCATTTTACATATTCATCATCAACACAACGTAAACATTATCACAATCATTATTACCATCGTCGTTATCCTTCTCAGAAACCATCATCATCATCATCACCGTCATCATCATCATCATCACCACCATCATCATCATCATCACCACCATCATCATCATCATCACCATCATCATCATCATCATCACCACCATCATCATCATCATCACCATCATCATCATCATCATCACCACCATTACCATCATTCACTCCAACTCACGCAAGCAGTTTGCCTTCATGATATTTTTTTCACTTTGTTAATTGTAATGTATTAACACGACGGCTGTGATGATGATGGTGGTGATGATGATGATAATGGTGATGATGATGATGGTGATGATGGTAATCATGATGAAAATAAAATAATAAATTAATTGAACAAAAATGTTTGAACCACTCGTCATTAGTCACTACAACGGTTGATCTCTGAATAAAATATATATATATATATATATTTTTACAATATTCTATAAATTCTACTGAATGTTTGGCGTTAATATGTTTGTAGTTTGTTTTTTTCAATTTTTCTCACTAAAGTTTTTTGGTGAACAACAACAATTACAATTTTGGTTCTTATTATTATTATTATTATTATTATTATTATTATTATTATCATCATGTAATCCTTAATAGCATGTATAGAATGGCAGCTCAATATTTTTTACAGGGGAACGGTGCGTGTTGGTGCATTTACGGTCTGATGGATTGATTGAATCAGAGAGAAAGAAATCAATTCAGTAAGAAGTATGCACTCGAATCGAAATGTGTATCATTTGTATCATTGGCGTTGTGAGTATCATTGATGTCATGGGTATCATTTGTGCCATGGGTATCATTTGTGTCATGGGTATCATGTGAATCAATGGTTTCATGTGCGTTTGTGTATCGTGGCCATCATTGTTATCTCGGATACAGTTGATATCATGGTTGTTATGATTAACTCATTTAATATCATGATAATTAGCCGACAAGTTATATCAGCGACTCGCGGTGACCAGTTTCGAAACCATCTGCCTGAAACTAAAGTGCGATCCTCTGTAAGGGTGATGGAGGAAAGTTCTGCGGGCGTTGTGTCTTGAAGAGGCTGCAAACTATGTGGGATAAATACTTAACTTTAACTGAATGAAAGAAAGTTAGTGAGTGAGTGAGTGAGTGAGGGAGTGAGTTAGTGAGTGAGCGAGGGAGTGAGTGAGTGAGTGAATGAGTGAGTGAGTGAGCGAGCGAGTGAGTGAGTGGGTGAGTGAGTAAGTGAGTGAGTGGGTGAGTGAGTAAGTGAGTGAGTGAGTAAGTTAGTGAGTGAGTGAGTGAGTGAGCAAGGGAGTGAGTGAGTGAGTGAGTGAGTGAGTGAGTAAATAAGTTAGTGAATGAGTGAGTGAGCGAGTGAGTGAGTGAGTGAGCAAGTGAGTGAGTGAGTGAGTAAGTGAGTGAGTGAGTTAGTGAGTGAATGAGTGAGTGAGCGAGGGAGTGAGTGAGTGAGTGAATGAGTGAGTGAGTGAGCGAGCGAGTGAGTGAGTGGGGGAGTGAGTAAGTGAGTGAGTGACTTAGTGAGTGAATGAGTGAGTGAGTGAGTGAGTGAGTGAGCGAGCGAGTGAGTGAGTGGGGAGTGAGTAAGTGAGTGAGTGAGTTAGTGAGTGAATGAGTGAGTGAGTGAGTGAGTGAGTGAGCGAGCGAGTGAGTGAGTGGGTGAGTGAGTAAGTGAGTGAGTGAGTAAGTGAGTGAGTGAGTGAGTTAGTGAGTGAATGAGTGAGTGAGTGAGTGAGTGAGTGAGTGAGTGAGTGAGTGAGTGAGTGAGTGAGTGAGTGAGTGAGTGAGTGAGTGAGTGAGTGAGTGAGTGAGTGAGTGAGTGAGTGAGTGAGTGAGTGAGTGAGTGAGTGAGTGAGTGAGTGAGTGAGTGAGTGAGTGAGTGAGTGAGTGAGTGAGTGAGTGAGTGAGTGAGTGAGTGAGTGAGTGAGTGAGTGAGTGAGTGAGTGAGGATAAGTTGGCAACTATGTATTGATCAGTGCTTCAGAATGAGGACAAAATATAACTTCGTGCCCTGCCATCCGTGAACATTCCTACATCAATTATTAGTTTAATTGGTTCGTTGTTAAAAGCTGTTAAGTTAATGCCGCGATTCGAAATTCATGCACAACATTTCGTTATTTAATAAATGATCAATAGCTTTTTCTTTTTTTAGACTTAGATCGATTTTGGTTATCGTTTGCACTTGAAGTGCTGATGCTACTTGCAGCAATAACAAACACCAAAAAATAAGAAAATTTAATCTGTAGCGACAAAGAATTTGCAAGAAATCAATTGAAACATTCGAAAAAAATTTGAAATACTCGGCAGATCAGCACCGACGCACATCTCACGAGCTCGTCTTTTGAGCAGGCACTTGCCGATGTTTGCAGAGTTCAGTGCATGTTTGTTTCGTGTTGAACCATATATGCGTACATACGCACCTACCTACTACATACACACAACGTAATTATTTACATGCGTGCATGCGAGTAAGGTTAGAATGATATACATACATGCACACATAGATACATAAATACATACGTACATAGATACATACATACATACATACATACATACATACATACATACATACATACATACATACATACATACATACATACATACATACATACATTTGAAAATATCCAACTGAATGCCGACATGTGCAATTAACGACAAATCAAAGTGTTAATCCATTTGTTACTTGATGTTTGACGGTTCAGTGTCACTCATCATGTTTTGGTTTTAACATACATACATACATACATACATACATACATACATACATACATACATACATACATACATACATACATACATACATACATACATACATACATACATACATACATACATACATACATACATACATACATACATACATACATACATACATACATACATACATACATACATACATACATCATGTTTTGGTTTTAACATACGTACATACATACATACATACATGCATACATACATACATACATACATACATACATACATACATACATACATACATACATACATACATACATACATACAAATCAAATCACTTCAAATCACTTTTATTCAATCAAACAAAACAAAAAGCATGAATGATTCGGAGATCAAAAAAAGAAAATTAATTCTTGTGGGCTCGGCCACCGTGTAGCTCAAAATAGATAAAATAAAATTGTCAATAGGAGAAAATGTATCAATGTTAATGAAATATGTACACACTTATATACATATATATACATATACATTATTATCCTTTAAAAACAGAACTTTTCGTAATTAAAAAATTTTTCAGTTTATTTTTAAAAAGATGCAGAGTGTTGCAATATTTAATTTCTTGTGGAATCGTCTCCCATATTCCTGGGCCGATGTGTTTCAAACTCATGCAGAGTACTTTAATTCTGGCTGGTGGAGCATGGAAAAGTGGCGTGTAGTTCTTGCTTGAATGGAAGTTCCAAAAGTGAAAAAGTCTCTAAAAATTGTTGACGTAGAAATCTAAAAATGAATGTTGCAACGTGGTAGATGAACAAGTTTTTGATGTTGAGTATTTTCATCTCGAGATAATATTCACTTGTGTGACAATGAGGATGAAGATTTTTAAATACTCTGATGAATCGGTTTTGGCATTTTGTTAACTGTTTCAGATGAATGTCAGGACTGTTTCCCCAAATTACGTTTCAGTAGATGAGGTGAGGAAAGATTAACGAATAATACAGGTCAATTAGAGTAGGTTTATTTAATTTATTTTTAATTTTGCTTATAACTCCTAGGGTTTTGCATATTCTTTTAGACATAGTATCTATGTGAATATCCCAAGAAAGATTGTCCTTGATTGTTACTCCAAGGAATTTTGTGCTGGTTGAGCGAGGAATAGAAATATTGTTCATTTTTATGTCTAGGTTAGGTATAATATTTGTTAAAATTTTCGGACCAAAAATAATGTAATTACATTTAGAATAATTTACTATTAATTTATTTTTGATAAACCAGGTTGATATATTTTGAAGACTGTTATTGATGTATTCTACTTCTTTCAATGGGTCTTTAGTTGGGAAGAAGATTTTAGTGTCATCTGCATATAGAAGGTGATTTGCATCAGTTGCATGTTGAAAATCGTTCATGAAGATTATGAATAGAAGAGGACCTAAAATTGATCCTTGTGGCACGCCTGTTTTGTTGAGGAGTGACTTTGTATTGCCACATACTGGTCTCTGTTCTCTAAATAACTTTTGAACCATGCACTTACTTTTCCTCTTATTCCATGTGAATTTAATTTTTTAATCAGTATATCGTGGTTGATGACGTCAAAGGCCTTTGAGAGGTCTATGAATACACCTACAGTTAGTATCTTTTCATTAAGATTATTCATAACATTTTGGGCTAATTGCAGCACAGCTTGCTCAGTTGAATGCTGTGCTCTGTAGCCATATTGATTATCATTTAATAATTTATTTATGGACAGAAATGAGGTGACCCTGACAAAAATTACTTTTTCTAGTACTTTGGAAAGTGGAGAAAGTAGAAATATTGGTCGATAATTACTTGTCTCTAATTTGCTCCCCTTTTTGTGAATTGGAACTACTCTGGATGTTTTGAAGCATTGTGGAAATATTCCTTGGACGATGGAAAGATTGTAAATATGAGTGATTGGGATGACAATTTCTGGGATGATTTTTTTAAGTAGATTGTTACTTAAAGTATCATCTGACGTGCTTTTTTTGTTGCTTAAGTTTTGAACAATGTACATTACTTCTTCATCATTGGTGGAGTTCATATACATTGATTTACAGATTGCACTATTTATTTTTAATTTATCTTCAGTAACTATTTGATTTTCTAACAGCTTCTCTGTGCCATTGATGAAGTATTCATTGAAAAGAATACTTATTTCCTCTGGGTCTTCGATGATTTTGTCGTCGACTTTTAGCTTATTGATTTCAAGAATGTTTTGTTCTCTATTCATTATACCGTTTATTATTTCCCATTTTTGTTTGGAGCAACTCTTTGCCTCTTCAAATTTTTGTTGAAAATAATTTTTTTCTGCCTTTCTCTTCACTGATGTAAAGTAATTTCTAAACTTTTTATATTTTTCAACATTAGCGGAGTTTGGTGCAGCGACTGCTATTTTATACAGTCGATTCTGTTTTTTAATAATTTTATTATTTCATCAGATACCCATGCTTTTTTATATTTTTGTTTCTGCCACTGCAGAGGTGCGTATGTGTCAAGAGTTTTATTGAGTATATTGTAGAAATTCAGGCATGCTGTATCTATATTATTCTCGTTTTAACTGAATGCCAATTTTGAAGTGAGAGGGTTTTTTTAATAAAGAAAATGGATGTTTTATTAATTTTTCTACATAAATTTGGTCATCATTGATAGCAGTTTTAAAATTTTCTACTATTGCATAAACTGGAAAATGGTCAGAAAAGTCTGAGACTATGACTCCACTTTCGCAATGTTGATACAGGTTCGTAAATATGTTGTCGATTAATGAATTGGCGTTACAAGTTACTCTTGTTGGTAAATTAATTAAAGGCGAGAAACAAAATGAAAATAGTATATTTTGGAAGTCTTTAGAATCATTTGAATCATTGTCCAATAAATTAACATTAAGTCGCCCACTATAACAGTTTTGTCGGCGGGTTTGATGACGTGTAAAATCAAATTGATTTTATTTAAAAAAGGCTCAAATTTATAATTGGGTGGGCGGTATATCGCGATAACTTTTAGCACACCCCTAGATGAAGCATGACCCGATTCAATGTCCACACAGAGAACGTCGACATTTTCATCATCAAATGCACTGTTATCATTTACAACATATTTGATGTCATGCTTTATGAACACACCAGCACCTCCGCCTCGTTTGCTTTTTCTATTTTTATGTACAAAATTGTAATTATTTAACTTAATTAAATCAACTGTTTCATTGTTCAACCACGTTTCTGACATTACTATAATTTTGAAAAAGTCGTCGAATTGTTTTAAGAAGATTTCTAGATTTAATAATTTATGAAACAAACTTTGAGCATTCAGATTAATGATTGGTAGGTGATTGTTTTTCATTTTATTTTTCAATTTTATTATGTTAGATAATTCTTTTACAGTGTAATATTTTGATTCTTCGAGATTCTCTTCTATGAAGTTTTTATTCATTGCTATTTTTAGTTGAAACAACATTTGCCGACAGGTCATTAACAACATTTGCCGACGGATCATTGAAACACCATTCGCGGACGATGATTTGGTCTGGCCAGTTTTCTGCATTCATGAACTCAGCTGAGTCTGTTTCATAAATACAAACTCTGAATGCAGCGCTTGTCTGTTGAACATCGATTTTGTCAGAGTTCGTGTGTTGATCGATGTTGTAGCTTGCTTTGAGCGGCGATTAAAAATTGAGTTTTTGATTGCTGAGCAACCAAGCACCTCAATTTTCAATCCATTTATGTGTTCGCTTAACTCTTTTGCAGTGCATTGTTGTTCCAATCGGCCAACGTAAAAAACTTCTTTTTGGCGAAGGTTTCATCGCTTTCAAATTTGTTTGTTTATCAGTTTGGGTGCCTATAACTGTTTTCATATTTGCTATGTTAGTGTTGTGTGTTTTTTTCTTTGTTTTCTACATGTTGATGTTCGCCACGTGTTGAACATTCGCCACGTGTTGAACATTCGCCACGTATTGAACATTTGAGCTCTTTTTAATTTTACGTTTTACAATCTCTGACCAGTCAGATTGCTTGCTCGATTCGGTCTTGCAATCAGATTGCTGCGCTTTCTTTCTACTTTTGGGCTATTGTTAATAGCCGCATTATTTACTATTTCTCGGAAAATGTTTTTTTCTTCAATAAATAGTTCTAATTTTTTAACTTTTCGTCAAGAATTGACTCAAGTTTAGCTTTTTTTGAGCTTGGAATTTTAAAAAAGTTGAGAGCAGCACACTGAGGCAATTTGCTCTCAATTTTGTTGCTCAGAATAGTTTTTATTGTTAGTATTAAATCACTAACCTTGTCCTTTTTAGAATTTGTTAGAATTTTTTAGAATTTTCTGTTTGGCTTTATTTTATCATCTTTTTCTAGATTTAATGCATCTAGATCGCTGGTAAGTATTTTTTTTGCTATTCTAATATCTTCACAATAATAGAAATCCATTATTTCGTAAATGAACTCCGCATCGTCAATTTTGTCAGAATTTTTAAATAAATAACACAATAACTCGTTAATGCAAACCGCTCGCAACATCGTACCGGAAAAATACATACATACATACATACATAGATACAAACATACATACATAATATACATACACACATACATACACACATACATACGTACTTACACACACACATCACACACACATACACATACATACACACATAAATACATACATGCAAACCAACAAAGATGTGTTTTTTCTGTACGGTTTTTACAGACGAGGCTAGAAACAGAAGTGCCAATCACGAATATTAGAAACCGTTTTCAGCATTTTGTTATTTTCCAAAAAAACACAACAACACACAAAAACACACAACAACACACACAACTCACTGCAACACGCAACAACACCTCAGTAACACACAACAATACACAACAACACACGTCAAAATATAACAAAATACAAACACAGACATTGAGCCTGCGACAAGAGCTAACTTCTAATTTCTGGGGGAAACTATTTTGGGCGATATGGACTGTGGTGATCAGCATAAAACATCACTTGGTATTCATGCATGCACCACACTGCTTCATATCGGGCAACATTTTTGAAGATTCATATCTCCATCGTACATTCTAGAGGCTTGATATGTTAATATTTCAAATTTTTCATTTTAAAACGGGAAATGAATAAGTTGGTGACTTTGTATATGGGGGTGGTGAAATAACAGGGTGGATGTGAGGGGGCAAGAGAAGTAGGTGGGAGGAAGCAGGTGGAGCTGGGTGAGAGGGGGCAGGTGAGAGTTGGTGGGAGGGTGGATGTAAAAAGGATGTTGGCTTGCATGTTGTGAGGGGCATTTTTTGCATTAGGAAAATTGATGGATAAAAAATATTTTAAAAAGATACTAACACTCTAAATTTTACAGCAAAATTTGTATTTCATGTTATTCCGTTCATCGAAACAAATTTGATTTCAACGTATGGAACATCCTCCTACATAACCAAATTTATATCTTCAAATTTCTTTCTGATCATAGTCGGCCCGATCTAATTCAGAGTTTGAAAAATTTCAAAGCTCCAATCTTTGCAACAAAAATAATTTCGCCGCAAACAAGATGAGCAGTTGAAGAGTTTCATAGGATGCATGCACACAACTGACAGGACCCACAACAGCACAGCATGCAGCGAACCCTGGGTCTGAGAGGCAACATTCGTCCGAACGACTCAATCCTTTCTAAATAATTGACGTTTTTATTTTCATCATGGTGATGAGCTGCTGACGACGACGATGATGATGGTGATGATGGTGATGATGATGACGACGATGATGATGATGATGATGACGATGGTGATGACGACGACGATGATGGTGCTCGAGATGAGGAACGAGCAGGCTCGTAAATTATTTTCGACAACAGTAGCGATATATTTGTCATTCGGCGTGTTTAACTTGAAAAATAAAATTTCAAAATAAAATTTTTATTGTTGGCGTGACGTCATCTGTCGCAGCAGGTGCTGCTAACTTGTCGCATGTCTCGCCAGAGCAGATGATCTGGCGTTGAAAGAAAAATTTTTGATAATAGCTAAAAAATAAAAAAAATCTTTCTTCAAAAATTGTTGCGGATTAAGAAGAAAAAAAAAATGTCTGCTCGAGAAAAATTGTTGACTCTCAAGAATAAACTGGGGCCAAAAAATGTCCTGACGAGTTGTGAAGTGGCATACAAAAGTGGAATTTAAAAAATTTTAAAAAGTTTTTAATTTACGTTGGGAATCCTCTTCATTCAAATGTTTTTTGATACTGCAACTTATTTTTTAAATTTTCAAAAAATTTGCGTTTTAATGACGCAGAAAGGATGTGCTAAATACATATTAACAATTAAAGTTATTTAAATAGAAACATGCGCTACAAAAATTCCTCAATCAGTTTGGCATGTCTCATTGTTGCACATTCGCCTTGCAGATGTTGCCTGCATGAGTACAGAGGCACAGGTACATTTGAAGCCCACCAACACACGTGCAATGTACGCCGAATATGTATGATCATATGCACAATTGTATGAGTAAAATACATACACGGATACATAAACACAAACACATACATACACTGTATTATGCATACAGAAAAACATCAATATACATAAATGCACACATACATACATACATACATACATACATACATACATACATACATACATACATACATACATACATACATACATACATACATACATACATACATGCATGCATACATACATACATACATACATACATGCATACATACATACATACATACATACATACATACATACATACATACATACATACATACATACATACATACATACATACATGTGCAAATGATCAGCGTCAGATCAGGCGACAGCAGGGAACTGTTTTTCGCAACTAACCACATTTCGTGCTTGTTGCAGCGGTTCCTGCGTGTCTGTGTGCTTGAAAATATCCAACTGAATGCCGACATGTGCAATTAACGACAAATCAAAGTGTTAATTCATTTGTTACTTGATGTTTGACGGTTCAGTGTCACTCATCATGTTTTGGTTTTAACATACATACATACATACACACATACATACATACATACATACATACATACATACATACATACATACATACATACATACATACATACATACATCATGTTTTGGTTTTAACATACATACATACATACATACATACATACATACGTACATACATACATACATACATACATACATACATACATACATACATACATACATACATACATACATACATACATACATACATACATACATACATCATGTTTTGGTTTTAACATACATACATACATACATACCTACATACATACGTACATACATACATACATACATACATACATACATACATAAATACATACATACATACATACATACATACATCATGTTTTGGTTTTAACATACATACATACATACATACCTACATACATACATACGTACATACATACATACATACATACATACATACATACATACATACATACATACATACAAACACACACACATACATACATGCAAACATACACGTAGGCTGACATAACTCCTAAACACATGCTCAAATGCATTCGAATGCAAATACATCCACCCATTCATCAGCAGCTACACATACTTCCGGTTTATGCTCTGGTAAGAAACTCTTCAAAAGTAATTCGCAATCACTTATGCACTTATTGGCTTACAGACTGAATTTCAAGTTGTATTTTATTCATCATTGCCATCGGAGCAAATGCTTTTCACGAGTCTGTCTATTGAAAGGCAGCTGTTCTTTGTGAAGCCTACCTCCCTGCTTGCTGGCGTGGCCTGCGACATTGTTGCTTATTATATTGCTACATGAATCTAACTTCATAAATATTTATTTGAATGTTAATCGCATTCAGCTTCAATCCCATCAACGTCAAATTGCCAGCAGTTCAAAACAAAAAAACTTCACTCCAGCATGTATTTATGTCAATGTGGAAGATTATTATTTAGCAAATTAATTTGGTTTTCTCAAATAAATAATGCAATATAAAAATCACTACTTCAACGTTTCTTTGAAGCAAATTTGAAATTAGTTGTCTGAAAAAAGCATTTTATTAGAAATTCAATTAAACAAAAACAAGAGAAAGAACAAAAACAAACCACCAACATTATTTGGAAAATGAATTTGTAAATTAATTCAACAAAGAAACAAACGCAGACAATAAGACGTAACATGGAGAACAGTTGGGGCAGGTGGTGATTGTGAGTGAGTGAGTGAGTGAGAGAGTGAGTAAAAAGTGAGTGAGTGAGTGAGTGAGTGAGTGAGCGAGTGAGTGCGTGAGTGAGTGAGCATATCAGATAGTGTATGTAACGCCTCAAGTGCACTTCACAGGTGCCATTGAAAACTCCCACTGAATTACTAACAATAAAATATGCATCTGAGGCTATTTAAATTTTTCATAAACCATCTTCCTCTCGCATGGAAAACTAAAATGATTTCTTGTTGGGAGTCTGCTGACTGATGATCGCAACGCTGGCGAGTGTGGAGAAGTCGTACCACTGGTGGGAATATTATCTACAACATACTGTAATAGTGCGTGCCTATACTATACTGTTTTGTATGGCGAATATTACATTGGTTTTAGTGGAGGTTTTTTGGCGACATTTTATTCTCTCGAAACGTGCCGTGGTCAAATCATTCCCGTAACATTCTCGAGTGTTTGAACGCCAAAGTTAATTCATCTTCCGATCAAAAATGAATAATTTCTGACTTTGCTAACTTAACATACTTAATTTCTTAAAAAATATTTAAAAATGAATAATTTCTGACTTTGCTAACTTAACATACTTAATTAAGTTTGTCAAATTTAAAAATATTATTAAATAGCTTTTGGCACAACAACATCTATATAATGTCTTTCATTCATGCACATCTTACGAAAGCAGATTCACTTGCGGTTATCTTCCTTGTCTGCTACCTACCTACATACCTACCTACCTACCTACCTACCTATCTACCTACCTACCTACCTACCTAACTACCTACCTAACTACCTACCTACCTACCTACCTACCTACCTTCCTACCTACCTACCTACCTACCTTCCTACATACAAAATTCAATACAAAAATCCGAATAATAATAATATTAACAGCAATAATAATAATAATAGTAATAAAAATAGCACTGGTAGTATATTTACGGCTTCGATAATTACCTTCCCAATCATCATCCTGGCCGAAATCATCATCATGATCATCACCATCATCATCATCACCATCATCATCATCAGCGACGACGTCCCATCAACGCTGTTAACTTCACGAACGTCTTCATTGTTGTTGTTTTTATTATTGTGGTTAGTAGTAGTATAGTTGTAGCTGCAGCACCCGCAACAACAACAACAACTGCAAGCAGCAAGCAGCAGCAGTAGTAGTTATATTACTTATTAATATTTTTATTATTATTAATTGTTATAAATATAATAAGCAGATGATCCAATGTTTTTAATTCTATGAAAATTTAAAAATAATTTTGTAATAATTTTGAAATAATTGAAAATTTAAAAATAATTTTGTAATAAATTTGAACTAATCGAAAATTGCTTGGCTTCATTATTGGAGTGGCTGGCTAGCTTCGCTTATAATTCTTGAAATAATTTTCAACAGGACTGATAACTCCAAGATTATGAATCCCAATCAACATTGGATAAGTTCTCAGGCACTCCTTCAAGAACGTTGCTATGAATTGCATTAAGTCAAACAGATTGTTTCAAGCTCTTATGACGTTTGATGTAAACTTCATTCGTTTGTTGACTGCGGTTTGCATGGCAGGCTGACGATGAAAACCGAAAGAAACGAACAAGTTCAGTTGCCTCCTAACACTTTCCCCTTGCACTTTTTATTTTTTGCCTCCCTCTCCACCCAGGGCCGGTGTCTGAGGAGTTGTTCAAGCTTCTTCGCTTATACAGCTTTTCCATTCACTTCTTTGTGTGTAGCGTGTGGTACTGTATATATTTTTCATCATTTTCGTTATGTACGTGTTGATGGGTGGCTAATAGGTAGATGGGTGATCAGGTGGGTGGTCAGGTGGACGGTCAGGTGGGTGGTCAGGTGAGGAGCAGACAATGCTTATATTATTTAACAATAATAACAATAAATATATCAGTAGGTGATGTCAAGACATTGATGATGACGACGACGATGATGTAATGATGATTATTATGGCGACCATCACAGTGACTGATGAAGCGCAGTGTCATGGATGATGACGACTGCGACGTATTTGATGGCAGGGACCCAGCAGGGCAAGTGGCTGAATCAAATAAGTTGAGTAGACATGTTGTACAAGTTCGGATGTTCCTATGTTGCGATTGGTGGTGTTTTTATTCCATTGATGTGATGGTTGGTGTTGTTTTGCTAAAATTATGGTTAGAATTGTTTGTGTTCATTTGGCATCATTTAATTATTGTTGCTGTTGTTGTTTGTTATGGTTTTCTAACTAAATTACATTGCCCAACCATGAAATTTGATTCGATTGAATGTGTTTGTTTTTCATTTTTGCGTTGGGAGCTGTTGACCTCGCCGAAACTTTAGATTCATCGCACCTCGTCAGTCAAAATAATTGCAAAAGTTTTGAAGGGATTGCGGATAGATGTTACAAACCGAACGAACTTTGCAGTTCAGAACATCGACTTGCATGATCACACCCAACGCTGAGTGGAAAATTTGACAGGGAAATTGGAATGTAATCTCCAATCATAATGACCTGATTGAAACGTCTTCGCATCTCACTGTGGGTCATCAGCCAACCCATCCGCAACACCATCGTCAACATGTAACAACATGCAGTAACATAGTGATTGAAACAATTTCAAAATCACAAAGACAATAGCATCAACAATTTTATTTAAAAACTTTATAATCATACATACTCAAGAACATTTCATTCGAACAAAATCATGACCATAACAAATATAGAAACGACATGAGCACGGACAACGAGCGTCACAGCGAGTCGTTCGTGAGTCGAACATCAGGACGATCTCGTCATCAGCCCCTGCATTGAATCTTCGTGTAATGAATCGGAAGTTTCAGGTCAACACTCGCCTCCATCGAACCTGCGCAACAGCATTCTTGATAATTGCTCGTTAACAAAAAGAAGAAAGCAGCTCCATCGCTAACGATGCTGCTACCGTTGGAAGTTTGGTTGATTCATAATTTTTAAACTGAAGAATGGTTTCTATGACTGAACTCAACAATTCTAGTTAATCACGTTCAGAATTGCTTAATTGTTTAAAAAAAATTTAATTTTGATTTGAGTTTATTAATTTATTAATTGATTGAATGATTGAATGAATAAATGAATGATCAAAGAAAGAATGAATGAATAAAAAAAATGAATGAATGAATGATTGACTGACTGACTGATTGACTGACTGATTGATTGATTGATTGATTGATTGATTGATTGATTGATTGATTGATTGATTGATTGATTGATTGATTGATTGATTAATTGATTGATTGATTGATTGATTGATTGACATTAGGAGAACGTATGTAACATCATATACAGTGCATCGAACTGTTGATCACATGAGGTCCTCAACGGAGTAAAGGAATTGAATTCATTGTCTAAAAATTTTCAAAACTATCATGAAACCATCTAAAAAAAATAATTTTCGAAAAGATGTTTCTAGTTGAATAATACAAAACGTTCAGCCAGAAGTTTCATGGCATGTTTCACGGGCAAAGATTCACTCTTACGAAAATTTGTTTGAAATTTTTACGTTTCAATTCATTGAAAACTGCACGATTAATGAGAGTTTAAATATTGCACGGATATTTATTTGCAAGTGGTTGAGTTTATTTTTCTGTTGTGGCTGCTGTTTAAATTAGAACAAATTCTGCCTAGCGAAGAAAAATATTTCGAAGTGATATTACATCAACAATATCTCCCTCTTTTTACAAATACGAGTTAATATATTAGATAGTTAATCAGAGCATTGGAGGCATGCTTCGTGTGATCGCTTGCGCTAAGAGGAGCGTGTGACTGATGCCCTTCTGTTAACGATGCTGACAATAAATTAATTGTGACTGCAAGCAGGCTGTAAATAATAATTCTAATGAACAGACACGCACACACACGCGCGCGCACACACACACACACATACAACTTACAACATACACGCATACAACTTACAACATACACATTTGCAACTTACAACATACACGCATACAACTTACAACATACACACATACATAGAACCACACATACATACAACCACACGTACATACAACCTCACGTGCAATACAACAAACACACAAACACCAATTTCATTTGCATGTACACCTAAATAAAAACTTCGCAAATTTGTTTAAAATAATAAATGCTGGATAGCAAATAACAACCAAATGCAGGAGGCACGAATATACACAGAGTAAAAAACTAGGTTTAAACACATATCTGTCTGTTTACCCAACCTTACGACTGTCCTTTTAATTGTTAATGTCATATTTCTTCCTCTTCTTACTGAAAACAAAGTAGATGTTGTTGTACGATGCATATCACACATCCACACGCCCGTCCATACTTGAGTTTGTACGATCATTTCTATGCAAATTATTTCATGCACGTTTTTGTAACAAAAACTTTCAAACAAAATCAACTTCGAAATACCGTAGATAACTGACGAGCACATACCTACTGAACTCAGTCTAACATTCGACTCGATCGTGCTTGTTAGCTTAACACAAGAAAAAATTCTTAATTTTGGTCGAATGTTTGTTTGCACCAGTGTAAGTTGTAAAAGAAATTCAGTTGTTCACGATCACAAAACAATTTGTTAGAACCGAAAGCAAGCAGAGGGTTCACAGTATTGGTATGGTATATGAAGTTCAATGCTGTCAAAATGTTCAATGCATTATATATTGTTCATACATTTAAATACATTTATATATATATTTGTATAAGGTTCTGCAAACAGGTAGGCCAGCAAAGTGAAAGCTCGTCACCCAAAGAATTTAAAATCCATTTTTTGATAGAGAATGGGAGAATGGGAGGGATTGAATGCGTGCGGTGTTGGGACGCGACAGAACGTTCCACTGTGCAGCGTCGCTAATCTCTTCATTCCATTTCAATTCTCATTCATTCTTTCCCATTAAACTTTATTATATAACTTCCTTTCATGTAGAATTCTATTCATTTCAAATTTTGACATTCGTTTCATCTTCGTCACATTTTAAAATCCAGCTTCCGAGTTGAAGTGAGCAGAATTGAACTATTGAATTGAGTTACTGAATTGAGTTACTGAATTGAGTTACTGAATTGAATTATTGAATTGAATTATTGATTTGAATTTTTGAAATGAATTATTGAATTAATCATTTATTTATTTATTCATCAGCGCTCATACCACTTCACCCTGGCTGCCTAGTTATAGTCATTATCATTACCAACATAACAACAATAACAATAATAAAAATATTATTTTTATCTATATAATTTACATTATAAATTTTATTATTTTAACTTTATAAACACAATGTATGTTTTTTGAAATGAAAATAAAAGGATGTTCTCATTATTATTATCATTATTATTATTACGATTATTATTATTATTATTATTATTTATTATTATTATCATTATTATTATGAATATTTGTTGATTTATTTCGTTTGGAATCGGTGTCACCCCGATGCTCCCTTATTACTACTTTCCGCCATGATTAACCTTTACATTCAAACTAACATCGTCCTTTGGGGGTGTATCGCATTTCAAATATATTTCCATTCCATTCCATTGTCGTTGGAATACTATGACGTAAACTGATAAAATTATGATGTTGTTAATAATAATAATAATAATAATAATGTTGTCTGTTGTTGTTGTTGCTATTGTTTTTGTTTTTGTTTTTATTGTTCTTGTTGTTATTACATCATTATTATAGAAAATATTATTGATCAAACTTTCAGATCATTATTACGTGATTGAATTGTGAATTATATTTTTCTTGAGGTCTTTCATTTCATTTGAAAGATGAAATTATTTCTCGCCCGATTTGTTATGGGATGGCAACAATGAGATGGTGTGTTTGTGTGGGGCAGCGTTGGTGTGGGGCAGCAAAAAATATATTGAAATAACCAAAAAAAAAATTCTGTTACACGTTACAAACAAACAAGTCTGGTGTAATGGTTAAGGTGCCTAGCATTGCTGCTGTAATGTCTGGGTTCGAATACAAAAAGATTTCGACTACCGCGTGAATCTAATTACGCTGCGTGTGTTGTTTATATCTTTTAGAAACACTGAAAAAAGGATAAGGAATAAGGAATAAAAGGAATATTATTGTAAGGAAAATTGTAAGGAATAAAATTTTTAAAAAACGTTTCCACATTGTTTAAATAAAAGTTCCATCCTGATGAAATGATGCATTCGTCAACCACAAAACGAAAGCAAAATCTCGCGTGTTTCTTGGAAAGAAATTTTCGTTAAATTAATTTTTAACAGGCGGCCTTAAAATATTTACTGGCATCTGATGAAGATACTTTGCATGGATTATCTATCATCTAACTAGATGAGTGAGTCATCATCGCTGAATGAAACTTAATAATTTGAAAGAGGTTGAACTTGCCCACACAACGAATTGTGAAGTGCAATTCAGGATTTAACATCGGTTTGTTTGTTCGTTTGTTTGTTTGCTCGTTTGTTTGATTGTTTGTTTGTTTGTTTGTTCGTTTGTTTGATTGTTTGATTGTTTGTTTGCGTGTTTGTTTGTTTGTTTGATTGTTTGTTTGTTTGATTGTTTGTTTGCGTGTTTGTTTGTTTGCGTGTCTGTTTGTTTGTTTGTTTGTTTAGTTGCTTCACTGTTTCACCACTTGAGGCTTTGAAATGAATGAAGAGTGCATTCCACCAGTCCTCCCCCCCCACACTTCTCACCAACTTTGTTTAGTATTCAAGTTGAGTTGTTGCCATGTATATTTTTTGTATGTCTTGTTGCACAGTTGTTTAACACGCTTGCTTTTGTTTGCTCACTGAAATATTCGTCTGCTTGCTAGACTTTAGATTTGCATGATTGGTTGTTTGGATTTGATTTTCATAGAAACAACCTACCTTAGCGTAATAATATTGAAATTTTAATTTTCATAATGAATGACAATTTTAAATTGGGTCAATGCCAAAGAAATCAAAGTTTTTCGTAAAAACAAGTACAGGATCAAATACACACACAATAACACACACACACATATATATCTATATATATATTTACATTTATACATTGTGTGTTTGTGAGTGTGTATGTGTTTCGTGTGTATCTGTTTTCTTAGACGATCGGCATTATTGACTGAAATGCATACATCAGCCAACCGGCACCTCACAGTTTGTTTCGGCGCATAACATTCCTTCAAATATTTACGTTGAAGTTTTTTGCTGCAAGTAAACAACCTCTCTAAAAAAGTTTCGACACTTTTTCACTCTTATTGTGTGTTTTTTATTTTTCTTTGTAGTCACTTTAAAAGTTCAACACTTGGGAATTTTGTTGTTCTCATCAAGAAATATTTTTATGTCTAAATTAGTTCATCATTATCCAAAAATCATATTATTATTTGATAATTATTTTCATTGATTTTCAATTGAAATATTGAATAATTTCAAACACGACTTATGAATGAAGCAAAATGGAGCACACAAAATCTCCTTACTTGAAAAATATTGCGTTGTTCGTTAGTGCCGCCGAATCGTTCGCATGTCTCGCATTCATGCTCGTCGTCGAATGCGAGTTTGCTAGCACGTTTTAAACAAATGAAAGAATTTGCTTGGAATTAAATGCAGCCTGATATGAATGATATAAACAGACAAATACAAACATGAATGCTTATGATTCAATGTAAAATACTTTTGGTATGTGATCACGTGCGTTACTATCAATCAACCAACCATCAACTAACCAGCCACCAGCAACCAACCAGCCACCAACCAACCAACAACTGACTAAAACCAACCAGCCACCGACCAACCAGCCTCCAACCAACCAGCCTCCAATCAGCCAGCCTCCAACCAACCAGCCACCAACCAACCAGCCACCGACCAACCAGCCTCCAACCAACCAGCCACCAACCATCCAGCCACCAACCAAACAGCCACCAACCAACCAGCCAACCAACCAACCAGCCACCAACCATCTAGCCACTAACCAAACAGCCACCAACCAACCAACCAGCCACCAACCAACCAGCCATCAACGCATATAAATATTCATTCTTATTTGTGGGTCATCGTGAAGGTTCCATCTGTAAACCGCCGGAATGATTTCAAACAGAACCTTGAAGAGGGAACATGTTCACTGTTTTTTGTTATCTGTCTTCTTCTCATCAGCACTAAATTGGGTTAGAAGGAGATGAATGTTGCAGCTTCAGCCCCATGCACTTCCCTGACTGACCGAACATTCATTCTCATTAGCACCCATTATAACGATATTACTTACTACCTTCAACATGAATGAACAACTGGTCCAAGCATTTCAATCTGTTACATGTCTATCAACTTTTTTCAAGTACAATATTCAGTGCAAGTACATTATATATTTAAGTACTCTCCACAAATTAGGTTTTATTTTAATTATTTATTCAACGCCGTCTGCCTTACATAATATAACAATCAGAAGATAAAAATTATGAAAACAGTGAAACAATATCGAAACACGAAAATGATAAAAACTATTATAATTCATTTTCAAAAAGATTGATAGCATGCTACTAGCGATTATTTGTTTTCTTCTCTTCAAACTAAATACATCCACAACATGTCTAGAGTCTGAATTTATAGCAGATATAAATTAAAGCCAGACTCTTTATATAAAGCACAGAGCTTCTTAGATAACTTTCAAATCTTTGACGACTAAAAAATATTCATTCTGATGTTGCCGGTGAAGTTGCCAAAATTTGAAATAGTGTAAATATTTGAAGAGGTTTGTGCTGGTTAAGACTGTTGCTAAATAATCACATACTTCAAAGTTGCCAATATGTCGCAGGTACAATGTTGAAAATTTTAATCTTTAAGAATATTAGTCTAATAGCACAAACATTTTTGAATCGTTATTTAGTTTTACAACTGCAAAAGGTAAACAACAAATCAAGATATGAAATAATTTATTTCCTTTCGGGAGAGAAGGTTCGAACCTCCTCCCATGTAAGAATTATAATCAGCACAAACTAGGATCACACCAATCAGTAGGTACATCGAGACTAACATGAGCTAAGATGAAATAACAAACGAAAATCAAATTTTATCCATCCAAGAAACCCTGCTAATTTTCAAAAAATCATTACTTCTAATATTTTTTTGTTCTATTAAATAAATTAATAACTGAGAGTAAAAATAAAAAAAAAAAACCTATAACTGTTTATACATTTTTAAATACTTTAGCAGAAAGATATAAAATTCAGCGGTGAGAAAATTATTTGCTTGAGTAAATCTGCAAAAAATGCCTGCGATCATAAATAATGGACATTCTCTCCGCTTACCACATTTTAATTTATTGCCAGTTAAGCGCTAGAGAATTGAAAATGAAAAACTGCAGACGTAAATTTTAAAAGTAAAAAAGGTTGAACGTCCAAAAATGTCTACGCGATAAATTATTTTATTTTTTAGCCATTAAAAATATTAAATATTTAAACACGGGCATCCATGTCTTCCTTGAATGTTATTTACATTGCTAGGTGAATGTTTAAATTAAATTAAATGATTCTATTTTCCTTTTTAAAATTATAATTATATCGCCTCAATGTTCAATGAATTAATTTTTTACAGTTTATGAATTTACTATAATATCAAATCAAATCATTTTTTTTATTTAATCAAACAAAACAAAAAGTATGAATGATTCAGAGACAAAAATAAAAAAGAATATTCATTCTTGTGTAACTTAAATTAAGTTTTATTGTATTTATTTTTTCTTGTTTAATATGTTTTAAAATTTAATTATTCAGTTATATTCATTACTTTATAAGCAATTAAGAAAACAATCATTTTTATTTTATAATTATTATCATCATTGTTATTATTTTTATTAATATAATCATCACCATCATCATCCTATTTATCGTCCTTATCATCATCATATTCACCATCATCATCAACATATTCACCGTCATCATATTCACCTTCATCATCATATTCACCATCATGATCATCACATCCACTATCATCATGCTTACTTTCATCATCATCACTATCATCACATTCATCATCATCATTATCACCACCATCATCACCTCATCACCATTATTACCATCCGTCTACAACATCAACACATCATCATTAGAGACACACATCATTCAAGGGTATGTTAACCCACTTCTCCAGCCAATAAATCACCATCGTCTGCAGCAGTAATCAAGAATGAAACAAAAACATCAGTAAGAACAATTACTAGCCATTTATGATACTGTTAACACGACACATAATTAATAGTTCTCTCTTCTATCATAATTGGTACTTATACGAATTGTATTAATCATAACAACCATCTCTTTTTAACATTATATGTTTCACACACACACACACACACACACACACACACACGCACATACACATTAGGTAATGCATTGAATAAGTTAATAAATACGTGTGGCAATGAAAATAATATATATATATTTATGATGGCGACGAAGATGTTAATGCATAATAATAATAATAAGAAGAAGAAGAACAAGAAGAAGAACAAAAAGAAGAAGAACAAAGCGATGGAAAGAGATAAAAGGCAACCATCAACTACTGCCTTCATCCAAGTCTTTCAGTTAACAATCTTCATTACATGCTGGATAAACAACAACAAAATAAAAATAATAATAATAAGTCAAACTTTAAATAAATGCGACTACTTAATAAAAATGCAACACAACGACGAAGAGCAACAACAGCAACAACAACAGCAACAACAACAACAACAACAACAACAACATAGGCAGCAGCCACAAAAGCAGCTTCACCAGCAGCAACGACAACAACAACATCTGCAATATATAAGATAACAGCTGTTTTATTCTCATCATTAAACAATCAAACATAATATAAACAAAAACCATGAATTATTTCTTTTAGCAGTGAGAAATGTTACAAGATATTGTTTGTAAAAACATCCACACGAAATATTATACAACTTGAAAAAATATGCCTACCAATTCAATACTGTTGCTATTTATATAGCAAAACATAAACACAAACAAACATTCACACACATGCTTTTTTAAATTGCGTTATCCCTTATCAAAACAACTTAGATACTCACATACATCCAACGCCAAAAAAACTAGAGTCCACACACATATTTAACGTATTTAACACATATGTAATGAAGTAACATCAAGAAAATGATTCATCAGTCATATTTTTTCAACTTCTTTTAATTTTTCAATAACTTCAGTGTTTGTACAGCTAGCAGCAGCAAACATTTGATCTTTCTGTTTCCGTTCTGTTCTTGCTATTTTTTTCTCCTGAAACAACAAACAACATCCTAATTAATTGTTTTTCATTCATTTTTTATTTGTAATTCGTTTACTCGTTTCGTTTATTTGTTCTCAAATACCAGTTAACCTACTACTTCGTTCACCTGATGGTTCTTCTTATTTTTATTTTTTCAACTGCTACAACTTTCCAGCATTTGAAAAATTATTTTGATGTTTACTGATGGTTTTCCAGTAACCTCCAATGATTTTTGTTAAAAATGCAATGTTGCATAGTTGAACTTCATGTAATTCCATGTATAATTGCATGTTAAATGTTGTGCGTTATGTCTCACTGAGGTGTAAACCTCTCTTTGTGCTTCTCACAAAAAATACAGCAGACGTATGCAAATTTTCAACACAAATCTGCGATCCATTAATGTCAAGAATTGTATCAATTCAACTAACTAATGAAATAATAATAATACCTATTTTTTTAATTTTCAAAAATGTTAACAACACAGTGGTAGGTTGTGAACGCACGCATCTAACTCATTGTTTGTAATCTGTTTGCATTTGAACCAGGTTACTGCAACAACAGGACCAGATCCCTTAACCACAATACCATTTCGTCATCCGTAGAAATGAAAATATTGTTTAAATGATGACGGCGACACGATGGCTGTAAGTTGTTTGTATGGAGTGGATGTGGGGACAATGCAGTGCAATGTATGTCTCGTGTCATCAGTTGCACCTTGCTCCCATGTTTCCATTCCTATCAAGCCATCAACATGCTTCCTATCGATTGTTTTAGTCGTTTTTACAAATCATTCATTATTTTGTTTGTTATTATTGTTGTTTTTTAGTCTTGTTGGTCTTTTTTTTTCTTATTGTTGTTATCAGTGTTAGTAGTAGTAGTTGTAGTACAAGTAGTTGTTGTAGTAGTGATTGTAGTAATAGTAGTAGTAGTGCAGTAGTAGCAGTAGGAGTAGTAGTATTAGTAGCAGTAGTAGTAGTAGTCGAAAATTGTGAATGACCTTAAAAAGTTCATCCGTTGTTTTCAACATTATTTTTGGTTGGCAGCCCTCAAAAAAACTAACAAATGTACATGATTCACTGTTTTACGGAATATTTGAGTAAAATTTCAATAAAAGATCTTCACCGACCTGCTTCAAATTTAGGGATCTACCAATTTCCAACATTAAAATAGAAAAATATTCTAAGAAAACAAAGTAAATTATGTTTTGTAATTAAATTTTCATAAGAAAATAATTTAAAAAAAAAAGAAAATTCAATTTCCGTATTTTATTAATTTTTATCAAATTTTTTGCTTCAAATTTTTAAAGTATTTTTGTGGAAATAGGAAAACGAACAAAAAAAGTCTTCATATCGTCGGAACCGGCAAGTGAAAAAATCATTCAGTTCCACCAGCAAAAGTGCCGCGAACGATCGACTAACGCAAAACGTTGTAAAACGAATCAGAATGTGACATTGTAAAAATACTCGAATGTCGGATATTTAAATACTTGGTCAAAGCTTGGTATTTGAATAGTATTTAAATACAAAGTACTGCTACTAGTATTCAAATACTGTCGACAAGTAGTAAGGAAATATTTTAAACATCATGCAGTTTTCAATGATACAATCTACATGATTGATAGAAAAAATTCACATGCTCAATAAAAGGATTATGACATTTTGTATTTTTATCATTAACTAAGTAGATTGAAGAGAGTTAGAGCAGTCAGCTTGTGTGCCACATGATTAGCAACTTTCAGTCAAAGTAATTAAACTTGTTAATTAGTAATCACCACCTCAAAGTATTTAAATACTGTCCAAATACTGCTGTTTTATTAATTATTATTTCAATTTCTCTTGAAAACTACTTAAGTAATAAAAAATTCTCTAAATACTGACAGCACTGATTGGGTATATACAAAGAGATACAAATTGATGGAATGACAATCGTAGGCCGGTAGAGGCGCGTGAGACTTCATTGACGTTTGAAGGCATGCAGGAAGATGATGAATGTTTCTATTGCTGCCTGCCATCCCAGATGGATTAGCATAATTGATGGAAAAGTTGTTCTAAACTAATGAACGATTAAAAATTTCGATTTTCAACTGGTGGATATGACAAGGAAGCTTTGAATAAAGTCACTGCTTAAAACAAATTTCGATTTTAAAATCTTTCGGTAAAGTTAACCGTACCAAAAAAAAAATTCTTAAACAAATATTGTTCAGATTGAAACATTTTTATATTGAATTTTCAAAGAAGATTATAACAGGAGATGGAGATGCTAGTTTAATGGCGACATAAGAGCCGCCACAAACGCGTGCGAAACCATACATATTTATTTCAAACGTTGAAATATTTGTGAAAATAATAATTTCAATTGTGACATCAGTGACAACCCAACAGCAACAACTTATTTGACCCACGACGATATGAGTAAGAGATAATAAAAGCATGATAGCATCCAATGTAGTGCTCAAGGGCCTCCATTGAATCCTCCAGCCCATGATGTGCCAACTCCATCCAACGCGGCATTCTCTAACCAAACATTTTTTTAAAACTTCCAAGTTATCTCATCTTGATTAAAAAAAAATTCGCTCGCATATATTTCAAATATTTCATTGATGCTTCTAAGCAGGAATATTTTCAGTTAACAAGCAGATAGATATTTCAATCTCCGCATGGGAACTGCATTGTCTTGCAAATAAGGTGACGACAGCTCTTGAATTCCTAATGTTTTTACAAAATGTTCATCTCATATATATATGTATATATATTTATATGCAATTATTAATGAAAATCACGCACACATATTCCGCATTAGCTAACTTCCTGTTTAATTTTTTGATTTTTTTAACGCTAAAAATATACAAAACAACAAATCGTGACAACAACACAACGCCCAACTTCCACAATATTTCTTAATCACAACCATTAAAATTATTACACAATTTCATCAAATATTGTATCAGCAACGAGCCATCAATATAATATTATTACATTACATTACAATGACATCACAAACAATCCCGATCACCAAATGGCACAAATACAACATCACATTATTACATTACAACATTACCACAAAAGATGTCTCCCCCGAAATGACGTCAGCCTGAAAACTTACAAAAATTTATTTGTCTTCATTATCGCTGGTGTTGTTTGCTCGTATTTTTTAAAATTCGTTATATAGAGATTTTTGTTGCATAGAAGTTCGCTATAAGTAGGCCTGGCTGTAATTAACTTTCATCCATCATCATCACCGGCATCATCATCAACACTACCGACTCCACCTCCCGCAGATTAAGCGATCAACCTTTCAAGAGATCACCTGACCTTACCTGCTCAGCCGACAAATTTTTAAATACTTTTTTGTGACATCATCTTTAAGACTGTTGTTACTTTTTAAGTCATCATCATTTTCATCATCAGCATCATCAAATGTGACAAAAATGCTGCTTATTGCTTTCCATATTTCATATGGCACCCACCAAAAACGACTGAGTTAAATGTGGTGAAAAACTATCCAACGCTAAAAATTTGGTAGATTTTATAAATTACTGCGATTTAATTAGACAGTTAGCTGTGAAAAAATCCAATAAAATCCTCTATCGGGAAAAAACAAATTTCTTTTTGAAAAAATTCTTCTTTCTTCTTCTTTCTCAAGCCTTATCTTTTCAGGACATTGGCGACCATCGACCTCCACAAAACTCGATCTTTAACGCTTTGTGTGGTATTGTTCAAAAATTTTATACCTGTGAAAGTGCAAAGAAGAGGTCATAAATGGATGACAGATGACATCGTATCTCGATTGGTAAACGAAGGAAAGTAAAAAGTTGCAATGCTGATAGTTACAGAAGCAGCTGGGCAAAACATAGAATCACATAAAGTTGTCCCATAGAGAGCTACAACACCATCTTTCTCAGATCCTAACCACCACCTCACCTCATCACCTCATCACACCACCTCATCCCACTACCTCACTTCATCACACTACCTCGTTCCAACCCCTCATCACCTCACCTCATCACACATTCTCATTTTATCGCTCTCATGTGTTTCAACCGCTTCAACCTCAGCGAATATTTTTAATTAATCAATTAATCAATCATTCCCGACAATATAACGTTAACGACATCAATAACATTAACAACAACATTAATAACACTAACAACAGCAACGCCAACAACATCAACCAGATCAACTACAACATCAAATGCATGAAATTCCTCATCCTAAACGGAAACAATAATATCAACAACAACATTTACAACTAAATCATCAACAACAACATCAACAACAACATCATCAACAACAACGTCAACCAAAGAAAAATAAACAACATAAACAACCAATTTATTTTTAGCGCGAAATTTATCACCAGCCAATCACCATCATCCTCATCATATATTCAAAAACTTTCTTCCTATAACGATGATAAATGATTATGAGAACAGATGATGATGATGATTATTATGATGATGATGATGGTGACGATGATGATGATGATGGTGACGACGATGATGATGATATAATGACGATCATCAATACAATGCTGTCTTGTATTTTCTACTGGTCATTTTTTTTAAATTCATCATTATCATCAACATCGTCATCATAACCATCATTATAATCATTATAATCATCATCAACAACAACATCATCATCATCAACATTATAATTAAAATCCTCATCATTACCATAAGTTCTCAATTTACCACCATCATCACCATCATCATCATCAGTTCTTAAATCACCATTATCATCATCAAGTACCAATCTAGTTTTATTTGATTTGAGGACACTGTGGTCAATCACCCTATCATCATCATCATCATCATCATCACCATGTTTATAACCATTATTCGTCATCATCATCACTACCATCATCATTCATTATTAGTGTTGTAGTTGTATATTTTACTTGTTTTTTTGTTGTTGGTGGTGGTTATTGTGTTGTATACTTTATTGTTGTTGTCCTCTGGTTATTAATGCTTCCTACCTACTCAGCTGGATGATCAAACCACAAATCAGTCAGCCACGAGAGCAGCCCAAGCAGGCCGATGTTTAACCTCTTCTAACCTCTTCTGCTGCAGCCAACCTCAAATCAGTGGCTGACGTGCAGTGGCTAACGTGCAGTGGCTGACGTGCAGTGGCTGACGTGCAGTGGCTGACGTGCAGTGGCTGGCGTGCAGTGGCTGACGTGCATTGGCTAACGTGCAGTGGCTGACGGGCAGTGGCTGACGTGCAGTGGCGTGTACGTGACGCATGCTATGAACCATAATCATCGCATTACAATGAGGCTGACTGACCACGAACGAAGGATGTCATGCTACTTGCAGGAACTCTCAATTTTTGGTTAAACTTTTTTCAACAACGATTTTATTTTACGATTCACTGAAACTTTTGGTAATAATGTTTCAACGTTCCAAGATGCTTTCAATAAATATCAAAACCGTCCAATTTAGTTTAGCGTGCATATTTATCTTGATCCATCATCAACTCCCCAGTCCCATCACCACCCAGCCTCTCATCCAATGTTGATGGTTCGGCCTTCCAATGCAGCCTACAAAGTTGCGGCATCGTGAAGCATCAGCAACAACTTCTATCACCACCACCACCACTAGCGTCACCAGCCAGCCAGCCAGCCACATGCAGGTGGCCCAACAAAACTTCATCATCAACTAACTGCGTTTGCAGCTGCAACTCATCCTTCAGCACTGACGTCCAAGTTGTTTATGTTATATATATATATATACATCTATATACATATACATACATACATCTATATATACATATATATAATATATATATATGGAACCCTACGGCTCGTTACTCGTTCTTTATATCCTATGCATCGAGTCCACGGAGTTTTCATTCCATCAAAATAAATTAAGATTTATTTTTTTTCTCTATAAAAACTAGCACAACTTCGTTTTTTTCTTCACTTTCAGAGAGATCGCCCTCCTAGCACGTCTGTCCACAATGATGATCTTGCTTGATGTCTTAAAAAATGTTGCAACCAATCCTGATAACGATGCCAGCGAAATGAAAATGTTTCCATTGAAATAAACGGTAAGGTTGTTGGAAATCGCTAGTAGTTGGTAGGTGTTGTTGAATGTTGTTGGAAGTGGCTGGGTTTTGTTGAATGTTGTTGGGTGTTGTTGAATGTTGTTGGAAATTATTGGGTGTTGTTGAATGTTGTTGGAAGTTGTTAAGTGTTGTTGAATGTTGTAGGAAGGTTGGAAGTTGTTAGGTGTTGTTGAATGTTGTTGGATTTTGTTGGATGTGGTTGGGTGTTGTTGGTTGTTTAAGAACAGTTGATGATTTCTCATTCATCCATCTATCCGTCCATCTATCTAAACATCCTAACTCATTTATTTCATTTTTCAGCAATATTAAATGTAAGTTAAAATAATTTTCAACAAAATACAAAAGGTAACGGCCAGGAAACACGTCTTTCCCAGAGCATTTATTTCAATGGCAGCCGTTAAAATCTTATTAAAAAATTGTCTCTTCCACTTAAATTTTTTTTCAATTTTATAAGTCCATTCAGAGCCAAGTTTGAAATTTTATCTGAAGGAGAAATTGAAACCGACAGAAAAAAATCTAAAAGTAAAATCTCTACAGGCTGCTATGCCTCGCTTGCCCTCTCGCAACATTATTTCCAATTAAAAATTCAGAGTATGAATTAAAAAGATAATAATTCGTTGAAGGTGGCGTTTTTATGCTAACATTCCGAAGAAATAAACCCTGAAGAGACGTGTTGCCTTCCCGCTGTAAAACTAAGTGACGACACCAGCTTCTTTAAATAAGGATTTATTATTTTTTAATTTAGGACATTTATTTTTTTCTATTCATTTTATAAATATTTGGTTTTTGAAAAAATTGTTATAATTAATAATTTATACCTCAAGTCTAAATCTCTTAGGAATAAAAATTATTTCATTTTCCCTATTGATTTATTGATAATAAAAGAGTTTTTATTATTATTTTTATTATTATTATTATCAACATAATCAACTCAATTCTTTCGTTTCACCAAGTATATCACAAATATTTAAATCGTTAATAATGTTAATTTATTTACTTTGACAAATCAACATTAATATCAATCAACGATGATCTACCGTCTGTATTGCCAGTTGGAAGAGGAGTTCTACAGGGTGACCCATGCTCTTTGCTAATATTTAATTTATGCTTCAACCTCTTCATGAAAATTCTCAATACGGAGGAATATGCCAGCTGTGGCTATATTGCGGGCCCGACTGCGGGTCTAAGGTCTAGATTTTGGCTCCAGTTTGCAGGTGACTCAGCCACTATTTTCCACAGTCTTGAAAGTACACAAAAATTAATAGATCTAAACTATGCGTGGTGCCAATGGTCAAACATGAAGATGCTTATTGACAAGTGTCACTCTTTGGCATGAGGAAGAAAAACTGCGAGTGTCAGCAGTTTCTTCCAAAACTAAATGTTGAAGATACGGACAACCCAGACGTTGAAATTG